CAGTAACGCAGCGTTCCTACGGGAAAGTAACGGTAATCTAATTACCGTTTTTGCAATAGTAATCCCTTACTTTACTCGTTACTTGAAAAAAGTAATCAGATTACAGTAACGCGGAGATTACAGTTACTTGCAACGCGTTACTGCCCATCTCTGTTAATCACACAGCGTTATATTATCTGTTAGATGATGACATTAAGAATGCTCCACAAGACACCAACAGCACAAATACAGTGAAGTGACCCAGTTCACTGGCACATATTAGCTGAAGTTCAGCAGAGAGTCTGAGCAGACGTGCTTCTAAAATGCATAATGTATTAATAATATGTAGATCTTTGAATTACATAAAAATAAAGCCACCATACTGCTGTTACAGTGGGGGGAAAATAACCTTACAAAGGCGTTTATGTAGCAGGTTGTAACATGTTTATTTCTGATCTAATTTCCTGTTTGTAGAAGACGATTCACTTTTGGACGCAGCCTCTGGTGGACATTCAAAGAACTGCAGTCAACTTGGTCAGACTGTTTTGGTGCTGGTGCCTCTGTGAGCGTTTTTAACGGACTTATCAGACAAACGCATGTCCATGCAGGAAGCCTGTGCTTTGATTGGACAAATTAGTTTGATTTTTATGCACTAATTACCAAATATCAGTCTAACACACAGGGTTCGAAATGTGAAAGGTATGGCTGACATCATATTGGCTTCATCTGTTATATGCATCAATAGATCCTCAGTTTTTCTTGTGACAGACCGTCAGGGAGATTAAACTCAGCAGACACATAAAAAGTCTTTTGATGCTAATATAAAAAATGCATTTCTTTACTCTCATTAACAAATAACCTGAAACGGTGAACCTCGTAGGATCTCGTTAATCTTTAAGGAGGAAACCAGGAGTCACTGTTGAATTCTGGTGAAGCTGTGCTTGAACTCATTTCTGAACTCGTCCTTCCTGCATGTCCGCAGTAGGACCTTCATCATCACGCTGAGGAAGGTCATGTGATATAATTGCGAGCTGTGCCTAAACGCTGGGCTTATTTATTTACAGCCATGGGGAAACACAAATACATCCGCACCTGCAGAGCGACGAGCTCCTGCTTTTGTTTCCTGTGAGGGGAAAATTAAAACTGTGAATTGACCCAGAAATGTGGTGAAAGCGGGTTTTAGTGTTTGTGGTTTAGTCTGAGCTGAGGGAGGGACGAGTCTTTAATGCTGCAGATAAACCGGAGCAGAATTAGACACAAAGTGGAGGCATTTCCAGGCTGAGAGGGGAACAGCTGGATTATACAGATTATGGACAAACACAGGACGTAATTATAGAATAACTTTTTTAAACCAAAGTTACAAAGAGCTCCACCAAACAGATAAAAGAGACAATAAAAGACTAAAATAAGAGGAAGGAAACAGCAGCGTTAGAAAGAAGCACGTCCAGCAGATTTATCTCAGAGCGGAGAGGAAACCACAAGGGAAGAAGAAAAGAGGCTTCTGGGAAGAAGAGATTTAACACGAGTGCAAACATAAAGATACCGAGCAGACCATCCTCGTGTGTTTTTGCTTCTGCTCTTTCCACTTTAATAGCTTGGATCCTGTAGCCTGAGGTCACCACTTACTTTCATGGTAGCAGCACAGTTTGCAGTCCTGCTGAATGATTTGGTGACATGTTGTCTGCATGTTGTGTGAAGCTGTACAGCTGATCACAGCAGCCAGTCTGGCAGGTGTTTCATTAGACCTGCACTGGGCAGCTGAAAACCAACCAGAGGTGCCAGAAACAGCACAGAGGTGAAGCACGAGCCAGATTTCCTCCACACGGGAGTGTCGGCCCGAACGGAATAAGCTGCCGTCACCACGGAAACCGAGAAACACTAAAACTACATTAAGTGTTGTTTGTTTGTTTGTGTAAAATCCAGGAAAGACTGTGCGATATTGTGGAGGAGCAATCACTAAAATTAGAATTAAAATCCTTCCGCCTCCTCCTCTTTTGTTCCTCCTCTGCTCCTCCTGCCTCACTCTGATAACATTCAGTCCTCCTCGCTCCTCGTCTCTCCTCCTCCTGCCTCAGAGTCGAGGAGTGACGGATGCTGGATGGAGGAGAAAATAAAAGAAGCTGTTTTTATTGTCGTCTTTTTTTTT